ATATCTTTGACATATCCGTAAGCTAATCTTAAAGTACGTTGAATAAAATCTCAACTTGTCCTAGAATTTGAGGATCATGAACTTGGGGATAGACTTCACAAAAATGTCCTCAACCTCAACTTACAGTTTATGGAGCGCGGAATTGTGGATCAGTTGTTTCTTTACTTTCATGAAGTAAGGTTAAATCTCAAGTTGATTGCAAATTCGTTTATGGAGTGACTGTCATCCGAACAACTATCACAATTTGTTTCCAAAAAAATACTACATACATTATGAAGATAAAGCAAACCAAATAACAAAGTGTAAAATTTATTTAACATATCAAAAAAGTTATTTGATAGTAGTCTAATAGTCGGTAATAAGAGTATATATAAACTAACATAATTTATTAACCAAATATATAAAACAAAATTTACTTAAATTATCAATAACGAAAAGAAAGAACAAAATGACAGAGGATCAATGTGAAACAGTGATTCTTCGATCACTCTATTACCATGTATTACCTTTATAGGAATATATGAGGTATGTTATAATTGTGTAGCAATTGCTTATAAGTAATAGACTAATGGTGTATAATGATAATACGTGTTCATGTTATAGACTCTAACATAATACTTTAGGTTCTTTTAGAAATAGGCAATCTAATTCTCATAAAGGTTCAAAATTTTCTCAAACATAATATTTTAGTTTTCAATTAAACCAACTAAGAAATTCAATTTTGATACTAAATATGTACTATAATATACAAATCTCTCAGAAAATTTAAAGTTATTTTATAATAGATTTTCTATAAAATTTTAGCTCTTGAAATAATAATAAGTTGAGCCCAAGTTTCCCTAATAATTATTTCACTTAATTCATAAATTTTCAGAAATTATTCTTTTTTGAGAAAAAAAAATAGTATATTTATGTATATACATATAAACTAAAGCAATTTGTATGAGAGATATATAAAGCTTTAGCTTTAAATTCATTCAATAATATTGAGAATGAATTACAGTATCCTCAACTTAAGATAAGATATTTTGTTAGATCTAAAAAAATTAGATTATGTGATCAAACCATTACTTTTTATACGACATTTCCTAATCTATATGAACTAAAATGT